ACCAAAATGGTTTCCAATTCCAGGCATGAGTGATGCCTTCTGCTTGCCTAGGCACTGAGTTTTCTAGGAAGGATAGACATTTTTTGTGTTCCCATCTACTTCGTTAGCAGAATTTGTGTTCTAACCACATTTCTTTTGTGGCAGCTGGCATTTTTATTTTTTGCTGTACTAAGAAGTAGAGGGTGGCTCACCTTCATTGGGCACCTATTGTGTCACTAAGGGGCTGGGTTTGTCCGTACCTTCACCAGACCTTCTCATTTCTTTTATCCTCAGACTGGCCTGTGAGCTGGGGTATTGCCCCATGGTACTGCTGGGGACGAGGGAAGTTAGGGCTCAAAAGGGTTAAGTACCTCATTCGAGGTTGCCTTACCTGGCAAGTGGCAGAGCCAGAATTTCAGCTGGTCCTGTGAGAGGTGCCCAGCTGTTGTTTAACGTGAGGATTTCCTCTGCATGTGTGGGTTTTTGCTAGTTTGATCTGTTAGAGTGTTGATGGTGTTTTGATAATTCTAATTACCTTGACATTGTCAAAGATTAGCTCTTAACTGTGTGCTACAAATGTTTCTTACTCTGTTTTCCTTTTAATTAACTTCCAGATTTGTATATATTTGAATCTACCTGGATTATATCTTACTTTTATTAATTCTGTTGTTTCCTAACATAGCAACTTGAGGGATTTCTTCCCCAGCAGGGGACACAGAGGGTCTGCAGTGGCCCTGCCTTGGAGGGCTCATGGCTCTGCCTTGGAGGGCTCATGGCTCTGGGGAAGAGCGGTGAGGGCTGTTAAACATTGAAAATGGGTTCACGTGTGTGGAGGCGATGTCCAGGTTCTTCCAGACGATGACCTGAGTTTTTGCTGTATAGATTAGAGAAACGTTTTATTTTTTTGCAGCACCTGTATAATTTCACCTTTTTATTTTTTGAGACGGAGTTTTGCTCTTGTTGCCTGGAGTGCAGTGGCATGATCTCAGCTCACTGCAACCTCCATCTCCTGGGTTTAAGCTGTTCTCCTGCCTCAGCCTCCCAAGTAGCTGGGATGGCAGGTGTGCACCACCACGCCTGGCTAATTTTGTATTTTTAGTAGAGATGGGGTTTTGCCATGTTGGTCAGGCTGGTCTTGAACTCCTGACCTTAGGTGATCTGTCTGCCTCGGCCTCCCAAAGTGCTAGGATTACAGGTGTGAGCCACCATGCTGGCCTATAATTTCACTTTTGTATTAAATCCTACTTTTGTCTGCATTTTTGCTTTAGTGTAGTTCAGTGTGGTTCTAATGTCTAAGAAAAATTGGTGATCAATTAGTATAACACTGTGATTAAATAATCCTTCCTTACTCACTGGTCATATTTCAAGTTTTTGTTTTTTATATGTATTTGAGATGGAGTCTTCACACCAGGCTGGAGTGCCGTGGCACAATCTCGGCTCACTACAACCTCTGCCTCCCGGGTTCGAGTGATTCTCCTGCCTCAGCTTCCTGAGTAGCTGGGATTACAGGTGCATGCCATCACGCCCAGCTAATTTTTGTATTTTTAGTAGAGAGGGGGGTTTCACCATCTTGGTTAGGCTGGTTTCGAACTCCTGACCTCATGATTTGTCTGCCTGGGCCTCCCAAAGTGCTGGGATTACAGGTGTGGGCTACCGTGCCCTGCCTGTTTGTTTTGAAACAAGGTCTTGCTATGTTGCCCAGGCTGGAGTCCAGTGGCGCTGTCGTAGCTCACTACAGTCTTGAACTCCTGGGCTCAAGAGATCTTCCCTCCTCAGCCTTCTCAGTAGCTGGGACTACAGGTGTGCACTACCGTCCCTGGCTAATTTTTACTTTTGGTAGAGATGGGGGTCTCACTGTGTTGCCCAGGCCGAATCAACTATTTGTATATAGTTGAGCCTATTTCTGAATTCTGCATTTTGTTTCGTTCCTTCACATTTCTAGTTTTTCTTCTGGGCTGCACTCTTACTGGCCCCTTCAGTTTCTGGGAAGGAGGGAGATTACTCCCCTCCCTTTCTCTCCCTTTTTTTTTTTTTTTTCCTGGAGACCAGATTGTGCCCTATTACCCAGGCTGGAGTGCATTGGTGATCATAGCTCTTTGCAGCCTTGAATTCCTGGGCTCAAGTGGTCCTCCTGCCTCAGCTTCCCAAGCAACTGGGACTACAGGCATGAGCCACTGTACATGGCTCCCCTTTTTCTGCTTTTAATGAATTTGCTTTTGCCGTGTTGACACTGAGAGGCAGGCCAGGCTTCCTGAAGTAGGAACATGCAGGCTCCTTACACAAGCTAAGATGTCACCGAGGAAGGAGTAGTTATCATTCTTTCTCTGTGCTTGAAACCTTCAGTTCCTCTAACAAAGTGCCTGTTGGGGGCCAGGTGCCTATTAAATGCTTTTCTTGTGGTACTTAATTTAATTCTGCCAAGACAATAGGGTGGAGCTGGGATTAGAGCCCAGGAACATCTGAGTCCAAAGAACAACATCTGTTCTTTATGTTGTTCTCGCATATGGACCAGATTTAAATGCAGTCTGATTTTTTTTTTTTTTTTTTTTAATATGCGTGAGTTTTGCTCTTGTTGCTGAAGCTGGAGTGCAGTGGTGTGATCTCGGCTCACTGCACCCTCTGTCTCCCAGGTTCAAGCGATTCTCCTTCCTCAGCCTCCTGAGTAGCTGGGATTACAGGTGTCTGCCACCATGCCTGGCTAATTTTTTGTATTTTTAGTAAAGGCAGGGTTTCACCATGTTGGCCTGACTAGTCTCGAACTCCTGACCTCTAGTGATCCACCTGCCTTGGCATCCCAAAGTGCTGGGATTGCAGGTGTGCGCCACCACACCTGGCCATTTTAAATAAAAATAAAAGGGAGCAGTTTATGCCAGAGTTCTCAGTGTGCTGGGGGCCGCATTCTCCAGTCTAGCGTGCCTCATACCCGCCCTTCCTGATTTGTCTTAGGCTGGAGAACTTTATTTTTTATTATTTTTTTAAGGCAGGGTCTCCTTCCCGTCATTCAGGCTGGAGTGCAGTGGTGTTAGTGGGGCTCACTGCATTCTTGACCTCCTGGGCGGGTTCAAGTGATATTCCCACCTCAGCCTTTCAAATAGCTAGGACCACAGACGCGTGCCACCATGCCCAGCTAATTTTTCAATTTATTTTAAAGACAGGGTCTTTCACTGTTGCCAAGGCTTGCTCCTGAATACCTAGGCCAGAATGATCCTCCTGCCTCTACCTCCCAAAGTGCTGGAATCACAAGCATGAGCCACTGTGCCTGGTTAAATAACTTTATTTTTAATTTTTTTTTTTTATTTTTGAGATGGAATCTTGCCCTGTTGCCCAGACTGGAGTGCAGTGGCATAATCTTGGTCCACTGCAGCCTCATTTCCCGGGTTCAGGCGATTTTCCTGCGTCAGCCTCCAGAGTAGCTGGGATTACAGGCATGCGCCACCACACCCAGCTAATTTGTTTTAAGTTTTATTTTATTTCATTTTTGAGGTGGAGTCTTTCTCTGTTGCCCAGGCTGGAGTGCAGTGGCATGATCTCGGCTTACTGCAGCCTCTGCCTCCTGGGTTCAAGGGATTCTCCTGCCTCAGCCTCCCTAGTAGCTGGGATTACAGATGCATGCCACCACACCTAGCTAAGTTTGTATTTTTAGTAGAGATGGGGTTTCGCCATGTTGGCCAGGCTGGTCTTGATCACCTGCCTCGGCCTCCCAAAGTGTTGGGATTACAGGTGTGAGCCACCATGCTGGGCCATGCCAGAGAACTTTACACATGGCCTTAGATGTGTGCGTGTGATTAATGGATTTTGTTTGTTTGTAGGTCTTTCTCTATTACTCAGGCCAGAGTGCAGTGATGCAGTCATGGCTCACCACAGCCTAAACCTCCCAGGCTTAAGTGATCCTCCCACCGCAGTCTCCAGAGTAGCCGGGACTACAGGCATGTGCCACCACATCCAGCTGATTTCTTTTAGTTTTTTATAGAGACAGGGTCTTGCTATGTTGCCCAGGTTGTATGGACAGCCTTGACTCTTCTCACTCAAACCTCGGAGGTTCTGGTCTTTATTCTTCCTTTGTTGATGTTTATCTTCACTGAGCGGGCCTCCTAACCTGGGTTTATGTAATCCTAAACCAAGCCTTTCTAACCTATGCCTCATCTCCTTTGGGGTCCCGTAGGTCCCAGCTCTGCTGTTACACAGCAGTGTGATCTTAGACCTGTTTCTTAATCTTCCTGAGTCTCGGTTTCTTCCATGGTAAAGGGGATACTATGCCCAGCCTCGTAGATGTAAGTGTGACTGAAACATTTGCGGAGAGGCCTGGCTGCTGCATGTGGTGTTCATATTTTGTTGTTGTTTTCCATCTTAATGAAGATATCTTAGGATTTTTTGCTGTCTCAAAACAAGTAGATCCTTGACTTACATATGGGTTATGGATTCACATATTTTGACAGAGATATTCTCTTTATCATTGAACCACTCCCCCCTGCCAAAAAACCCCAGCCCCCGACCCCCAAGCCCAGTCCTCAGGCTCCCAGTGCTGTCCTGGGGATGGAGATGTGACTGGTAGGGGTGTTGATGATCATTTTTACCTTGGGCACATCCTTTTTCTGGGTTATCTTCTTGCTGGGTTATATCATGACAGTGTATGTTAAAACTCTAGCTTCTGGGGCAGGTGTAGTGGCTCACGCCTGTAATCCTAGCACTTTGGGAGGCTTAGGTGGGTAGATCGCTTGAGGTCAGGAGTTGGAGACCAGCCTGGCCAACATAGCAAAATCCCATCTCTACTAAAAATACAAAAATTAGCTGAGCATGGTAGTATTCATCCCAGCTACTTGGGAGGCTGAGGCAGGAGAACTGCTTAAACCCGGGAGGCGGAGGTTGCTGTGAGCTGAGATCGTGCCACTGCACTCCAGCCTGGGCAACAGAACGAGACTCTATCTCAAAAAACAACCCTCTAGCTTCTGGACTTGATATGTGGGGACGTGGGACCTCTTCAAGGCTTTCTCCCTTGATTTCCATGTGTGTGTTTTTTCTAGTTTCTCCTTCGACCAAGATGACTGATGGAAAACTCTCCACCTCTACAAATGGCGTAGCCTTGATGGGCATTCTGGATGGTCGACCAGGAAACCCTCTTCAGAACCTGCAACACGTCCATCTCAAGGCGCCCCGACTCCTCTCGACACCTGAGTACGGGCCCAAACTGAAACTCAGGGCTCTAGAAGACCGGCACAGCCTTCAGTCAGTGGACTCGGGGATTCCTACCCTGGAGATCGGCAACCCAGAGCCTGTGCCCTGCAGCGCGGTCCACGTGAGGAGGAAGCAGTCCGACTCGGACATCGTCCCAGAGCGGGCCTTCCAGAGTGCGTGCCCATTGCCGTCCTGTGCGCCACCGGCTCCCAGCAGCACCGAGCGGGAACAGAGTGTGCGGAAGTCCTCCACGTTCCCCAGGACAGGCTATGACTCAGTGAAGCTCTACAGTCCAACCTCCAAAGCCCTGACCCGCAGCGATGACGTCTCCATCTGCAGCGTGTCCAGTCTCGGGACAGAGCTGTCCACCACGCTGTCGGTCAGCAATGAGGACATCTTGGACCTTGTGGTCACGAGCAGCTCCAGTGCCATTGTGACCCTGGAGAATGACGATGACCCACAGTTTACCAATGTCACCTTGAGCTCTGTCAGGGAAACCAGTGGCTCACAGCAGCAGGACTGTGTCCATGAGGCTGAGGAGGGGAGTAAACTGAAAATTCTGGGCCCATTTAGTAGCTTCTTCACCAGGTAACGCTCTCCTTGCCCTCCAGAACTTGCTTGTCAAGTCCTGGCAGGTCGCCTTGTTCTTGTCTCAGATGTGCTGTGTGTTCTCTGTGTTGTTAGGCAGGCACTGCCTCACACTGGTAACTGAGCCTTTTCACAGTAGCCCGGGATCCTGTGGGACTGTGCAGGACTGGTCTGTTGCAGATTCTGCTCTTCTGTGTCCCTGGCTCATTTGCAGTCTGTTGTCACTTCTTGGCCTCCAACCTGTTGTGGCTGTCCCACAGGTGGCCAGTGTTAGCAAATCAGCAGCGTGAGCCTCTGCAGGGCCCTATATACTCATAACGTTTCTTGGTCCAAAAAGAGGGCACTGGTGAGGGTGATGCCAGTTAGTAACGCCCATTTCTTTTTAATTCACCTGGTTGCAGGTGGGCTAACGCTGAAAAGGGCATTAGCCTTTTCTTTTTACTTTTTCTTTTTTTCTTTTTTTTTTTTTTTTTTT